CGCGCGGGGCGGAGCGGGGCGCGCTGTCGGGCGGAGGGAGGGAAGTCTGCTCCTAGACCCACATTTCTGGGGTGGCATTGGTAGCCAAAAAAAAAAATTTTTTTGTACTGTAACAGTATACAGATTTGACAGTGCTGGAAGCATGTATTATTTGCAAGCCGCTTACACTGTAGTCACAGGGCCCGATAGAGGTCAATGCCAAATACAGATCCTCTTCTCCAGGGTTCCTGCCGCACAGTCTGGAGCCCGGCCCCAGTCTCCAGGCTTCCAGGCACTGGTGCGTGTGGAAGCGGGGTCTCCAGGATGCCTGGAGATTGGCGTTACCCGGGGTCGAAGAACACTGATGCCCCAGTCTCCTGTCCAGAGCCTGATTGGGAAAGTGGCCTGGGCCTGGGAGTTGCTAACAGATCTGCAGGAGACTCCAGGGGAGGCAGGTCTGGGAAGGGCTGTGTCGGGGCCGCTGGGCAGAAAGGGGGTCCGGTCAGGCGAGGTTCCCAAAGAAAAGAACGCGCGTGGAGCAGACATCGCCAGAAAGCAGGAGCCAAACTTAATTCTCAGCATCAGGGCAGCATGGGAGCGTGAGAGTTAGAGCTGCAGCTGCTGTGCGTGTCTTTTTTATCACTTTTTCTGAGACAGAGACAAAACAGCCGTCACCTTGCATGGCTGTGTGGCACGTGCGTAGTCGTCCCTGCTGATTTATTATTTTTATAATCCCCACCCTGCGCCTGTGCTAAAGGACAGACTTTAGGTCCTCAGATTCCTGGGCTTTGACACATCTGCTAGTGGTACCTACAGGCCACACTGGAAAAAGCACATCGCTGGAAAAGGGCATCACTGTAACAAGGAACCACTGGGGTGGAAACCTGACCATGGTAGGGGACTGAGTCATTCTGATAGCTTGGTATTTGCTGATGTAAGACTTAACTCTCACTTTTACTCCTGGATCGTGAATAGCCAAGAGGCGTCCATGATGCTGGACTCAGAAGCTCAGCGAGGCTCCAGGAGCTTGTTGGACAGTGAGAGTCACCCAGGAAGGAACATACCAGGCAAGTTGGCAAATAGACCTTTATTAGTCTGGCCAGACGGCACTCCTGAAGCCAAGTAGCTCAGAGAGGCAGCTAGCTCAGAAACAGGCCATTTTATGTAGGACTAAGTGGGGGAGGTTTATACTCAAAACCTACAGGAAGGGGACAAAGGCAAAGAATCAATTGATCTGAGCTAGTGGTCATCAAGCATATACTCGACCGTTACATACTAATGATCCGCAGATCGATTACCCATTGTTCCATTTACAACTTAGATTATAATGTTCAGAACATTCAACTACAGGCAAGCAAGGAGTGGCGTGATTGATGTTGGGTCTCTGTGTTCACTACAGTTTCCATTTGGTTTCCTTCAAAGCAGTTACCTAACAATTCACAATTAATCATTAGTTATCGTAAAAGGGATGGGGGGAGTGACAGTCTCTAGGTCGTTTGCTGGTCAACATGGAGTCGCTCTAGTTCAGTCAGACTCTTACACGGATATGACTTTGATGGACTCTCACAGGGAGTAAAAAGGGTTAGGAAGAAGTATGCCTGTAACTAGCTGGGAGAGGTGGGTTTGCAGCTCTCCTGAATCTCCACCTTCTTCTCCATGAGCTCTCATTTCTGTTTATAATTTAAAAAAAGTGCTTGATCCAGCGTTTTGAGGTCTCATTCAGCAAAGGCCATAAGCCATTCACTACACCACCCTCATCAATGCCCCATAATAAAAAAAGAAATGGAAAACATTATAATTTTCCTTTTTTTTTAAATAGAAAAAAATAAGGTCTTGCTATGTAGTTAAGGCTGGACTTGAATGCAGTATGAAGCCTAGGTTGGCCTCAAACTCGCAGCAACCTCCTACCTCAGCCTCCTATGTGTTGGGATTACAGGCCTGTGCAACCACACCTGCACATTAGTTTTCCAAGGGCTTTTGTAAGACCTAAAGTCTCACTTCCACTACACGGAGTGTGAACAGCCGAAAGGCCTCCATGATGCTGAGTCCTATAGTCTAACGATGGCTCTGGAAGCAAGACCCAGGGCTTACTTCTGAAAGCCGTGAACAGCCGAAAGGGCCTCCACGATGCTGGGACCTATAGCTCAGTGAGGCTCTGGGAGCTCAGTGGAGGAATGAGAGTCACCCAGGAAGGAATACACCAGGCTAGATGGTAAACAGACCTTTATTAGTCTGGCCAGATGGCACTCCTGAAGCCAGGTAGCTCAGAGAGGCAACTGCTCAGAGGCTGAGGTCCTTTTTATAGGGTTTTTCTAAACAAAAAGTCAGGGCATTCACAGAACTACCAGAGGACAAGATTCCAAACACATTGCTTATCTTATGCAGGAAATGTTCTATGGTCACCTCTGTCATACCATTTGCCCCTGGGCAGGCTGTTAACCAATTTAGCAATTAGCATATGAAGCACAGTCTCTGGCCTATTAGGATGGAGTCACTTTAGGTCTTACACTTGGAGTCAAGAGGCTCGCCATGAGTTAGAGGCTAGCTTGGACTACAAGGTCAGCCTGAACTAAATAGCAAGACCCTCTTGAAAATATCAAACAAAAAATAATAAGCTGGTACCAAACACCACTCCAGTCTTCTTAATGTCTCTCCAGTAGAGGAGGTCAACAGCCATGGAGCTTGCTGCTGGAGTGGAAGACGGGGTCCAAGAGGGCTGGGGCTGGGGGGTCCATGCCAGTAAGGTATGATAGCCTGGAGAAGGTAGTGCAATCAGCAGTATCAATACCATCTAACACAGTGTAGCAACTAACAAACTGTGGTCCCTATTAGTTTGGTACCTTTAACCATATGAGCAAGCCCTACCGTTGTATAACAAAATACAGCATAAGCCAGGAGCTTGTATGCAGTGAGTTTCCCTTTAGTAAAGTGATTCTATCCCATGGGAGGAAAATTTAAGGGTCTAGGGGATAAAACGGAGAGATAAATGAAGAGAAATATAGTAGAAGCAAGGTCTGGGGGGCAGCGGCAAAGGATGATCACCCAAGCTTTGGGATACTGGAGAAAGGAAAGGAGAGAAAGCATGAAAGAAGAAGCAAGGGAATATTGAAGAGAACCAGAAAAGCAAGAGACCCTGTTCACTCAAATGGAAGTTTCATAAAACCAAGAGAGGTAGTTAAAGAGAGAAGACGAATAGAACAGAACAAGAATAAATGATAAAGCCTAAACAACAGAAACAAAAATCCCAAAACCCATCCAGACCAAAAAAAGGGAAACTAATTAAGCAAACATAGAAAAATAAAGATAATAAAAATACTAAAATTCCTCTGACAGGGTCCCAGACAGAGATGGAAACGCGCTGTTTCTAACTTCCGGGGGTGGGAAGGGCGTTGGGGGCTTCCTGAGTCAGCTGACTTCCTGCTGTCTCCCGAGCCTGTCCTCACCGCTATGTTAGCCGTGCGGCGCCCTCTGGTGGGCCCAGGCTGCGGCTGTTCTCAGGTTTGTGCTCTGTTGGCTCTTCCCAGATTTTGAATGGGGCTCCTCTGTTCCACACCATTGATTATATTCACATCTGGCTCTGTGTGTGTGTGTGTGTGTCCCTCCTTTGTCCCACCACTGGCTAGGGTCGTTGGCTCGTTTGTGTCCATGGCCGCAGTGCAGGGAGGGAGTGTCCTTTTGCTTCCACCGGCCTAGGCCCTTTGCCCGCCTGCCTCTCTGGTCGCAGAGCACAGGAGATACTTCAAGTCCTTTGTAGCGAGGGCTAATTTCAGTGGGCCTGGGTGGTCCTGGCAGTGGAGTTTGGCAGGACCGGGCCCACCTCAACGTAAATTCCCTCAATCCGCTGACCACCTGCCGTCAGTCCCCTTGACTGGATGGCTCTTCCCTTTCTCAGGGCAGCAAATCAAGCCTGGAGGGAATCGATGGCGTTCTGCTCTCAGGGCCAGCGTGTGCCTCTCTGCACGAAACGGCGGCCCCGGGCTGGCCCCAATTTGTAATTCTCAACAGAAATGCCTTCAACATGTAGACCAACTGCTGGCAGTCCACCGTGACTGGGCGGCTATTGCCTTTTTTCTCTGGGCAGCAAAGCGACCCTGCAAGAAAGCGACGCTGTTCTGTCAGCGTTCGCGCGGGGCGCTTCTCTGCTGGCGCGAGCCTATTTTCTCCCTGAGTGGGCGTTCAGGGAATATTGTGTCACTCTTTCAAAGCTGCCTCCCGCGTATCAGGCTCTCCGGTTCCAGGTCCAGTCTCTGTTTCTCAGTGAGCAGTTCCTCATTGCGGCAGGCACGCAGCGGATCCGCCTAGTCACGTGGTCTTCGATGTGTGTAATTTCTTTAGCAACCTGTGGAACCTATTTTCTTCTTTTCTATCTTCAACTTTCTCCTGTGTTGTGTACCACTGGCACTCACAGCTCTGCAGTTTTTGGCGGCAGCAGAGGCGGCGGGGTGGGGTGGAGGATGGCACTCATTTAAAATAGTTTCAGCAGTACTATGAATTCTCCTGTGTCCTGAGCTCATTCTCTCTGTACAAGTTTTTGTTTTGTTTTTTCCTTCTGTTAGGAATTGAGCCCAGGGCCTTTGCTCTAAGGTGAATTCTCCAGCTCTTTTTAAAGTTTTTTTTTTTTTTTTTTTTTTTTTT